TAAGCTAGGAAAAAACTAGAAAGACCACAGAGAAGAAATAGTAACATTTTTACTTTGGATCTTAGTTTAGAAAATCTGGAAAAATAAGATTATAGAGAAACTATAGTTTAAAGGTACCAAATAGGGACTTAACAAGGAGCTCATCTCCAAAAGAAGAGGTCTTGGGGATAAGAATGGTTAGACTCAAAATCATAACCTAAGCCATTTTGATCAAAATTACCCTATTACCCCTTCCCCGCTCCACTCTCAGGATTTCCAGCTTTTATTTTATTTTTTAATTTATTTTAACTCAGATAGGCATCCTAGATTTCCAGCTTTTAAACTCAAGGTCTGATAAGCAGGAATCTCTTTAGTATCCTTGGAAATATTTAACATTGGTTATCAATCTATATAAATACTAGAAACAATGCCCCAGGTGTCATCTTGAAGCCCAATCAAAACTGCCCACACCCTTTGCTACCAAGTGGTAAGCTGGTAAACAATGAAAAAAAAAAACAAACTGCTCACACCCTTGCGTCTACTATGTACCACTTACTGTTCAGGTTGTATCTGGAATTGAGGTTTCTTTTGACGTAATAAAGGATAGCAGGTACTTTCCAATTCATGTCAAACTGTACAGCTTCATGCTATGGAAGAGAAAAAGCACTTTTAGCCTATATACATGCCTCTTTTCCTTTCCCCAAGTAAGACTCAGGTACTATTTTTAATTCTGCTAATGCTTTTTATTCCTGAGGATCCTTCCCTCTTAAATCTGCCTGGCATTCTACAGGGCTCTGAGGATAAGGATGCTAGGAAAAAGGGAGATAAAAGGAGGAATGGGCCATGTTGCAACTAACCTTATCAATAGGTTCAATAAGAAAGTCATTGAATAGATACCACTGCTGGTGAGTAACGCCCTGTGGAGATACAAAGTGATGGCTAGACCATTCTGTCTCAGACTATACATTGTGGCCATCTCAGGAGAGTCCTGCCCTGTACCACCTCACTCACCTCCTTACGTTGGTGGTAAGTCTCTCCAACTTTGATGTGAGCCACCAGGCTGCCCCCTGTGCGTGAGTCCAGGATGTGTACCACAGTAGCCATCAGGTCATACACATAGACACCATGCTCCTCCTCTGCCCTGGCTGGGCCCCACTGTGAGGGGGGTACCCAGGCTGCTAAGCTAAGTTTAAGGATTGGGAAGGAAGGGGAACGAGGACAGAGGACAGGGAGGTGGGGGCATAGGAGGTGGGGGACCAGGGTAGATTATCTCCATCCTAGCCCAATTATGACTCCCAACACTGAACTGAGTCACTGTGGGAACTACTAGGCCTTATTTCCTTCCTTTTCCCTCTGCTAAGTTCCACCTTCCCCCTGCCCTGCTTCACCTTCTGCCATGCCTTCTCTCCCTTATTCCCCTCCCTCTTTCCAGTTTTTCAACAACCTGCACCTCATCCCCATCAGTCCAATTGCAAACATCCAGCCCTTTGTTCTTGGTCATCTTCATGCGAATGGAGAAAGGAAGCCAGATATTCTTCAACTCCTCAATGGAGGGACACACCAGCACACCCTCTGGACTCCCTAGTTCTTTCCTATCAGGTCAGAAGAATTGGAAATTTGTTCTGAAGAGATCTAGCCAGTGACAAGAGGGGACACTGGGTAGTTCAATCCTTTGACAACTTCTAAGACAGCACCTACCAATCAGCCAAAGCAAATTCCTTGTTCTTGGAGATTTCCCCACCATGTTTCTTTACTGTCATCTTGAAGGCAACCTGAACACAAAGGAAAAACATCTGATTCCTTAGAACATAATCATATATGAAGGTCAGAAGGGGAAGAAAACTAAAAAGTACTCCTAAAAGCCTGTTTCCAGCCCTAGTCCTTACCTCAGCCTGCATTCTCCAGAAATCAGCCTCTTTTGAGCTGTTTACCTCACAATTGATGACAAGAATATCTGGCAGATGGCGGATGTTACGGGTCTGAATCTTAGAGGATAAAACAAACAAGGAATGGCAGGGAGTGTAGAGGGAAAGAAGCCTGGACAGGAACCTGGGTCTGCATTCTCAAACTGGGGCTCCTCCCACTCCCCATAGATCCCTGGATGGCAGTGCTGACATAGCCAGCCCCAGATGAGATGGTAGCTGAGTCCCCAACATGGCAAAACTCTAGTCTGGTCCAACAACCCACTCACTGTAGGCTGGTACTTTTCACAGTTGTCACACCAGGCCTGTGTATTCTGTTCCAGGCAGATGCTTCGCTTCAGCACCTGAGCAAAGTCATAGTTCTTCCCGGTTTTATCTGAGGGGAAATTGAAAGCCTCACCCCTGGTTCTCCCCTCTACCCACAGTTAGTCCCCACCTCTTTCCTGATGTCACAGGACATTTGGGGGAGCCTTCCCAACCCTTCCCAACAGGGTATATTACTGTTGCTACCATCAGGGTAGGAAAGCGTGAAGAGCAAGGTGGAAGAGGCTCGCACGGTCTCACTGCCACAGCGGCAGAGGCTGCAGTTCTCCATCTCACAGCTGAACAGCTGCCCAATGACAGAGTCCCCCGATGAGCAAAAGCTGCTAAGAGCAGAGAGGACAATATAGGCACACTGAGGGAGTTAGGAGACCCTTTAAGTCACAGAGGGGCCTGGCCTGTCATGGTGGCTTTAACTGTTCCTATCCCGATTCCATACCTGCTTCCAGCCCCTCGATAAGCCTGTGGTACTTCCAGCTCCTGCATATCCTGATGTAGCTGAGTGAGAATGAAGCGATTCCATCTCTGAATGAGCCTGGCCAGATTGCCCTTGCCTGAAGCCTCATCTGAGTCAGCCAGGATAAGACCAAGGGCTGAGGCCTCAGGAATGGTACGGAATGCCCGAAGAAAATTATTGCCCTGGAAGCATGTTGGTGGAAAAAGGTTATTTTCTCCTTTGTAGCCATTTACACAGCAATGTCCCTGACTAGTGTCCACCTCCCTTCTCCTTCCATTTTAAGTGTCCTGGGTTTCCAGGCACTGACCTGGCAAGGGTCACCACGAGAGAGGTCCAACATGTGGAAGAGAAAGCCCAACTCACATGCCAGGCAGAACTCCTTCTGGCAAAGGTGGTTCTGGATTAGACAGCGAACAGGCTCCAGGAAATAGAGCACCTGGAGGGAAGAACAGGAGAACTGGTGTAGGAATCTGGGACACGGAGGAGGAGACATGCATAGGGTAAAAGTGATCTGGTGGAAAATACAAAGCAGGAGTCCACCAAAGCACTGGAGCTCATAGAGGAGACTTGAAGGTTGTAGGGGAAAAGAAAGAATGGTAGAGGCCATGGTAAAGCAGGCTTGGTTGAGGAAACCTGCAAAGAATAGGGGTTGAGGAGCCATGGAGAAGAAAGGTAGTAGACAGGTTCAAGTTGTAGAAATACCCAACTCTTACCTGGATCATGCAGTTACAGTATGCATTGGGGATATGAGGCTCTAATCCAGCAAACAGGGTCTTATTGTAGTGTTTGAAGTCAAAGTCCTCCAGCCCTAGCTTGGAATATTTGATGGTCACCTGAGGCAGAAACAGTCTGAGCAAGACGAGGATATCCTCAGAGTCCCTGAATCTTCCCAGTAGCCATAGACTTTCCCAGAACCTCCCTCTCAGGTCCAGGGTGGTAGGTGAAGGCCTCCTGACTTAGTCCTTCAATCCTTTCTCATATGAACCCCTTCCCAGGGTACCTTTCCCCACATCTCACAGGGCCCCTGCCTTGGTGTCCCCCAGCACCTTGCGGTATTTCTTAGAAACCATGTGGAGATGTGGCTCCTCTTCCCGCCCTATCGGTGACTCAGTGACCTGGCTGAAGCTGTCAAATTCACTGTCCGACTCCTTGAGTCGGTAAGGAATCTAGGGATTTTAAAAAGAGGCAACCTTGTTGGATGTCTTGTCATCTTTGGCTTCACCCCACCTTTATCCCAACATTGAAACAGCCACCAAGTCCTGAACCTTCTATTTTCCTAGCATTCTCAGCATCCACTACTTTTTATTTCCACTGCCATCAATCACTCTACTTAGTCACGATTGGACAACTGCGATGGCTTCCACACTCATCTCCCTATATATTCATGCTGTCCAGCATACGAGTACCAAACTAACCCTCCTGGAATGCTGAACATCACTTCTTCCACTACACAGTGGTGTTCAAGGCTTCACAATCTGGCCCTTTCTAACCTTAATCTCTCACTACTGCCCAATACCAACAGCTGTTCCAGCCAGAATGTTGTACTGACAGTCTCCCTCAGACGTGCTTTTTGCATTTATGCCTCTTGAGACCTTCACTAACACTGTTCTCTCATCTTGAATAGTCTTCTCTTGTTACTATCTACTTGCCCATATTTCACATTTCCAGCTCAATATCCACCTAGTTCATTACACCTTCCCTGACCACTCTAACCCAGAGTAACATTTTTCCCTCCAAACAGCTCTGGCACTGAATGCTTATAACAATCCTTTAGCATTTAACAATCAAATGTAAGTAATTTCTGATATGGCTATGTCTTACCTTCACCAACCAAATACTAACTTCCTAAGAGCAAGGACCCTATCTTCTTTATCCCTGAATCCTCCCTAACACCTAGCATAGTTCTTTCAATTCTGTAGGCCCCAAAAAACCTTTACCGACTGTCCAAAAACAAAAGAAAGACTAGTAAAGGAAAAAGGAGAAATGCCAGTGGGCTGATGTGGGGGCTGACTGTCTCTGTTCTGAACATACCTGATTGCGCAGCCTGGTGCGGGGGTTGGGTGCATAGCCAATGAAGCCCACCTTCTTCATGGTGCGTAGAATCTCTGCATCCACAGGTGGTGCACGCCTATAATCCAATATAGTTCTAGAGCTTGAAGGGTTGTGTTGTCTACCCGTCCACTCCCCAATCCCCAAAGGCCAAGAAAAAAAGAAAATACTGAAGGTAGATAAAAATCAGGAAAATAGTAGAATAATAACAAGGCTAGCAGAGAATTCTGGTATCTTGGCCCTTTCCCCCTCCCTCCTTTTGGCCCAGAGGTGGGGTACAACCTGGGAGCTGGAGCGGAGTTGGCAGCAGGCCAATCAGAGAGAAGTGTGTCAGTGGTGAGCGGGACAGGGATGAGGGAAAGAGGCAGCAGGTCCTGGCTCCAGTCCAGAGGAGGCAGTGAGTCCACGAGACAGGGCAAAGCAAACTCAGTCTCACGGGAGTAGGGGTTGAAGGAAGGCTCAGGGGAATCAGTCCAGAGGTGCACGCAGCCCTCAGAATCCCCAAAGGCCAGGGCCTGCTTGCTGGCTGACACATCAAAGGTCATTAGCAGAGGCCCCACAGGATTCACATGAAAGATATCTGCTGGGTTGGCCAGGCCCGTAGGCTCACAGAACTGGCACTGCCCTAGGAGGGAAGAAGAAATCCACTGAGCCCTGGAAAGTGAAAGGGAGCTATCCTTATATGCCCTTCCTACCCTCTTCCCTGGTATCTAGGTAAGATGGGTCCCAAATCCATGCCTAGAGAGAAAAAGAATACCATCTGATGTCTCCCCACAAACTACAAGGATGGTTTGCTACCCAGCAAAGAGCAATTCTAGAGTGATTTTGCCTATTCCATCTTTATCTTTTTTTTTTTTTGAGACAGAGTCTCACTGTGTTGCCCGGGCTACAGTGCCGTGGCGTCAGCCTAGCTCACAGCAACCTCAAACTCCTGGGCTCAAGCAATCCTTCTGCCTCAGCCTCCCGAGTAGCTGGGACTACAGGCATGCGCCACCATGCCTGGCTAATTTTTTCTATATATTTTTAGTTGTCCAATTAATTTCTTTCTATTTTTAGTAGAGACGGGGTCAGGCTGGTCTCAAACTCCTGAGCTCAAACAATCCACCCACCTCGGCCTCCCAGAGTGCTAGGATTACAGGCGTGAGCCACCGTGCCCGGCCCATCTTTATCTTTTTCCATGTTCCTCACAACAAAGGACAAAACAAAAGCTCTAATCTCTGACTAAACCCAAGTGAAATCCTGGGACCCCAATGAAAGGTTACTTCTTTTCCCAACAAAATGTTTCTAGAATAGTACTCCTTCTGTGCCTACTTCCCCTTTGCTCATCCATCCCTCCTACCCAATCCTATATGCCCTTCATACCCGACTGGGAGATGATAGCAAGACGAGAAGTATATGTAGGAATGAAGCGCAAGAAGGCAGGATCCACATGTACTTGAAGTGGTGTGATGGCACGCATCATGCGCAAATCATACACCTTGAGGAAACGGTCACAAGCAAGGCCAGTGAGGCGGCTGGAGAAGCCACAGGCAGCCAGTAGATTGCCGTGCACATCAAAATCTGACAGACTCCCTGAGAAGGCATCAAACTCATGCTCCACCTTAAAAGTGCGAAGGTCTCGCAGGGAAACCTAAAGAAGAGACAACTCAGTTATCTGCCAACTCTGTTATCAGGAAGAGTACCTGCCACTTACCTAACCTTGTGAAGTCCCTACCAAAGGAACTAAGGCTATAGGTCAGATATGGACAATTAAGAGTCCAGAAAAGGCAGAGAAGCCAAGAGCTGAATAGGACCGCAAGGAGAACTCTTGTTTACCGTTTTGGCTCTAAAGTACCTTGTTACAATAGAAAACATCAGGCTATAAGACAATCTCATAGTATAACATCGCTGAGTAGAAAGTGAATTTACTCTTTTCATCCCTCATCTCCAATCCTACTATACACGGAGAGTTGAGAGAAAGCACAGCCCAATCAGGTATCTAGTGAAACAGGGCCCTGTGGTGGGAGAAATGGAACTTGGCCACCTTGCCAGATGTATGGCCACAGAAGAAGAAGCGATTTGTCTGTCTCATGATGGTGACTCCAGGTGTTTCAACTGCATACTGGAGAGGGAAGCAGGAAAAACCAGTGAGAAAATGATTTTTCCCACAGACCAAAGGAACAGAAAGGTCACATCCACATCTCAGGCACATCACCAGCCCAAGCATACCCTGACCCCCCAATAACCTCAGGCCCTGCATGGGTCTTTCCTGTCCCAGGCTTGTACCTTCTGAGTCTCCTGAACAGTGTTAAGATCAATCTCCAATATGTGGTTCTGCAACCCACCAATGAGTAGAGTACTGTTGTCAGTCAGTAGGAGACTGTGCATATCCTCATTCTCATCTAGCCTGCTGGGGAGAGGAAAGGCTAAGGGGCCAGGGTCTCACAATCTGCCAATCCCTTAGCCTTCCCACCCTATGAGGTACCCTCTCTCCCAATCTAGAGCTTAGAAGCCACTTACAGGTAATCAAATATAATGAGGCCCCCACGAGCCATATACTTGAGGTTGTTCTTGGTGAGAAAAAGGATACCATTCTCCAGGCTCTGGATCTGTCGAATGTCATCACTGCCATTGACCTGAAAGGATGAGTAGCGCTCCAAAGCTGGGCCGAAAAAAGAAGTGGCATGGCCCTGTAGGGGACAAAGATGACAGAGACACCCTGAGTGGAGGGGCAGGGTCATTCCACATGTAGGTCAAGGAACTAGACAGGGCTCAGCCTTTTTCTTTTCTTGCTTGGCCTTTGTGACTAGGAGCAACTGAGGCCTAAGGCTAGGCCTAAGGCTAGGAACCATATGCCGCATATGCCTGTAGTCCTAGCTACCTGGGAGGCTAAGATGGGAGGATCACTTGAGCCCAAGAGTTCCAGGTTACAGTGAACTATGATCACACCACTGCACTCCAGCCTGGGTGACAGAGTAAGACCCTGTCTCAAAAAAAAAAAAAAAAAAGTACTAATCAACACCTGATATATTGTGTATGTTTTCTGTTTGTTTTGTTTACTACTTATTCCAAACCTAGAGCAAGGTCTGGCATCTAGTAGGTGGCTCAAAAAACACTGGTTGTTCTATGCCAGCATCTGTGTGGAGTAAAAGAAAAAAAAACTAAAAAAGGAAAAAAAGAAAAAAACTGGTTGAATGAATTAGTATCTACCTCCTCAACTTCTAGTCCAACAAATCCTAATTGTTTGTAGTTCCTGCACTCTATACTCACCATGCTTTGTAATATCTTGGGAATCTTTGTTTATCCTATGCCAAGACAGCCTTTTCCAATCTCCTTTACCTAATTCCTACTCATCTTTCAAGCCTCAGTTCAAGTGTCACTTCCTCCTGGAGGCCCTCTCTGACCCTCCTCCATGCTCTCCAGCACTCAGTACTTATTTTCACACCAGCACTTAGTACCATAAAATTACCTGTTTATGTGTCTTTTTTACCTCACTGTCCTATAAACTCTTTGAGGGCAAGGATTATGTTTTATTCAGCTTTATTCCCTGTGCCTAGCATAGCAGTAGACATTGCCTACTGAACTGAATCAATCACACACAAAAAATTCATCCCTTCTAATGGAAAAACGATTCACGCTCCATGAAAGGTAAATTAGTAAACCAAGGACAGCATATTATTTCTTACAAAATTTCTGGGTTCCATAGCATATTGGCAATATGGACATACATTTTAAAAAATTAGCATTGATAACTGCTCTAAGAGTAAAATCAACCAGAGAAGACTGAAGCGTATCTCCATGTAAGATACGCAGAAATGTTCATTAAACAGTCTATAATAATAAACATGGAAAACAGAAAAGGGGCATTAGAGATTGGATTTGGATGGCTACAGACCAAGTGATGGGTACAATTATCAAGACTGATCAGAACATGGGATGAGCAAACTATGATAAAAGCAGAAGCCTTCTGAGAAAGAGTACCTATGTAATTTATTCTTGGATCCTAGACTCCCCTTTTCTCTCCACCACCCTCCTCTTGGCTTGACTTAGAGAGCCAGCTAACTCTCATTATTTCAACTCAGTTCTGCCTCCTTGCAAAGCAGCTGTCTTTGGGGCCAAGACCACATAAAGACCTCCAACATCTCCTTTCAGCCCTCACAAAGTTCTTACCCCGTGGCTCCCCACCCACAGCATCTCCTCGTGCAAGTCAAAGTGGGAAATGGAGACAGGCACACCCACTTCAGCCACCACACTGTGCAATTCAGAGTAGACACCTTCCATTATGTGCACTGACTCCTGGACGGGAAGAGCCTCCAAGGCCACTCCCTCTGGGTCCAGCTCCACATTCTGTAGCAGACTTGGGTTCAGGTGGGCATCCAGGACAGGGTCCAAGGCAGAATGCATGGTGGGAGCATACTCTGCCAGTCCAGGATCAAGACCCTCAAAGTTCATGATGACGATGGCAGTTGATTAGACTTGTGTCACACCCTCCCTTGCCAGTCCCTTTAGCCTGACCCAACCTTCGGCAGGACAGCACCAATGGGCCTAGAATGGACATCCCAGCCTGCAAGGGGAAAGAGGTAGCTGAGTCAGGGGTAGGTCCAAGTACTGGTACTTAGTTTCTTCTAGGTTATGTGGGAGGAAGATGAAGCAGGCAGAAGGAATGAAACTGCCAGGCTGAGGATGAAGCAGGCAGGGGACAATGGGCAGGGGGGTGGAGTTGGGAGAATTACTGTCCCTTCCTCTCCTCCTCTAGGCCCTCTGTACTCCCCATCACCTTACTATCTAACCTAATTATTTCCCTTCAGACCTGCTCACTCGCCTGGCTCAGCCCTGAACCATCAGGTGAAGGGAGCAGGAACTACGGGGGTTGCAGTTAGGGAGAGGGGTGTAAGCTGCTTGTTTCCCAGAATTTGGGTTGGGATGGGGGGGTTGGCAGTGAGGAGAACAAGAGAAGTCAGTTTCCCAGAATCCTCTGTAATAATTACCCAGGATTCTCTAGGGGAAAACAACAATGGCCAGTTACCCACAATTGAGGTGGGGGTAGGGGAAAGTAATGGAAACGGCTAGTTACCCAGAATTCCCCGGAGGAACCAGGGAAATGGGCTATCTAGAATTCGACCCCGGCGGCGTGAGGGGAGAGACAGGGCAAGGGTCAGATGTGTTCCTGGGATGCGTACGGGGAATGGGTCATTACCAAGATTTCTCCATGGCGGATATTTTGGAGCGCGTGGAATTAAAACGAGTAGGGGGAGCGCAAGCGCCGTCACCTCCGTGGGAAATTCCAGTTTCCCCAGTTCTCCCCCACGCCTCAGGCTCAATCTAACTCTACGGCGGGAAGGACCGGACTCCCAGTAGCGGCTTCCAATGAGGAAGGGCTTGGGGAGCGTCTAAACCAATCAGAAGGAGCCAGGTACAGACGCACTCCGCGAGAAGGCGTGTGACGCAGGAGCGGCGCCAAAACACGGTTACGGAGTGCCGTTGGGAACAAACGAAGCCAGACCCTGGGCTTGTTTGCGGTTGTAAAAAGTAATCGTTCCTTTTTTAAACCTTCTTGAATAAAATTAGACCTAGGCTTGGAAACCGACCTTTTATGCTCCCTGTGACTTTAAGATCTCTAGAATAAGGGGCGTCCAAGGCAAAGTACTGGGAATCGACTGCTGGGTATTCCCAGCGTTGCCTAGTTCACCCTCTCTTTCCGCGGTGCTCTAGTGAGCTACTCCGCAACCTCTGACCCTATTGCCCCCGAAACTCGCCGGCATTTCCTATCATCCCTAGATATGGGAGAAAAAAAAGGAAGCGGGAGCCACACTCTTGACACGGCCCAAGTGGCCGCATCTTCTACGATTCTAAAGGCATCCATCTGAAACTCCCATCTGTGATTGTTCCCTCCCCAGAGGCCCTGGTAATATTCCCGGGGAATAGGACCCCCAGGGTATCAAATTCCCCTAGCCCACGGAGCTGCACGTTCTCTCAGAGGGGGATGAGAATGGCAAATTGAGACATTTGCCTTCTCGAAACTTAAACGACTCACCGTCAACGGTTATTCTGAGGGATTCTTGGGGCGTGTGAGCTTGAATGTCTTTGGAATGGGTCCAGGTTGTGAGATGTCTCAGGGCGCTTTAGCTCAGCTGTCCTTACTGTTTCTAAAGGCCACATAGAGGGACTGTGGTGGAAGAAATTCCTCACACAGGGTACAGTTTTAAAGCATTTCTCTTTCTTTCTTGTTTTTTTTGACAGAGTCTCTCTTGCCCGGGCTAGAGTGCTGTGGCGTCAGCCTAGCTCACAACAACCTCAAACTCCTCGGCTCAAGCAATCCTCCTATAAGAACCGGTCCCCCTCGGCCCCAGGAACAGAGAAGCAGAGTCACTGAGGATGCAAATGGCAAAGGAGTTTATTTGCTAGCTCGAGCTAGGGTCCAAGTCCCAGAGCACCAACGCAGTGGCCTCCCTAGGAACCAGGACCC